TTCCCTTAATAAAGCGTTGAATGTAACTTGAGCGATTGTTTACCAGAATTCTGAAAATTAAGCGATTCCCTTCACTCGTATTACGAGCGGTGTTGTATTCGCCATTGCTTAATTAGTTGTTTTAAAAGAAAAGCGAAGCTAAATAGGGAATCATTTATTTTAACACTTTGCATCTTTTTTGTTATTTTGTTAAAAGAGGAAGGATTGGTTAATCAATGTAACTTCTATAGTGATCTTTTATTTTATTTTATAATTGTTACGATTAGGGAGTTGACGTCTTAAATATCAACGACCTGCAATCATAATTTGGAATGACATTAAATTATTAGTGTAGAGTGAAAGAAGGTCTGTGAACTTTTTCCGGAACTTTATATTATAGAGACGATTGAAATTCGGACCCTGATTCCAAAGAATTCCATTAAAAAGACGAAGGAAATGAAAATCGCTTCTACAATGTTTTAGCTGCAAAGACGACTACAAAAGGGGCCCGAAGCGCGCCAGACGGGTAGTTCAGTGTGAGAACTCGAAAAAGAAAGAAGAGGAAGAGAAAATGTGAACACGTGAGTGTATAGTGTAGTGAACAGTGAAGCGATGTTATGGTGTAAAGGCGTACGTAGAGGATTGGTGCGCAACGAGGGAGTCGCCGCACCTGTAGTAATAAGTGCGGATTTCAGCGGTGTCGAGAGGGCCACCGCACATGTTTGTGGGCGTCATAAAGTGAATAGTTATCGCGGATCCCATCTCGTTACATAATTATATTATGTAGTACCCGTTGTATGATGACGGACAAGGCATCACATTTGTAGTTTCGAACAAATTTGATTAAATATGTTTAAGCATTAGCAACCTCTTTTTTCATCCATGCTGGATTATAAGGGGAACATGCTGTAGAATAGTAATTAGTGCATAAAATACTCTTCTCCCTAGATATTTATATCCACGTGTGACGAAATATTTATCTTACAATATATTCAAGATATTGTGTGTTTTGGAGTTGGCATGGTTGTATCGGTATACTTTTCAGTTTTTGTACTCATCATGTTGTCTCAATATGTTGTCCTGAGTTCCTGAAAGACAGTTTTAATGGACCCGACTCCAAAAAACGTGACTTGTGTTCAATTTATTTGCGTTTATACTGTTAATTTCAAACACATTAGTCTAATAAACAAACTAGAAATTGTCAACAGAGAATTTTAGAGAATTGGAGAATGAAAAAATGTAAAAAAAAATTAATAAATCTTTAAATTTAAAATTTAGTGAATTGCTCTTGAATTTCAAGTAATTCAGATAATACTTTTTAAGTCTAAATATTTAACACTTTAGTTTAAATTTTTAACCATACGGTGAGGCTGTTAAAACTCATGGTATTTATAATCTAAAAGGATAAATGATTTTATGAAAGATACGTTTCAGATGGGATTACAGTTAATAAAGCTGTACGAACACGTTATTAGCTGATGTCGGATTAAAGTAATAAGATTAATTAACAACGTACTAATTGCATGTTTAATGCGAACGAAAATGTTCCAGTTGGAAACAGATTACTCTATAATAATTATACATGAATGGCTGATTGCATTAACAGCGTAAGCCTAATTTAAATTAGCTGTAACGCTTATTGATTGCAACATAAACATGTTCAAAGTTATTAAAAAGAAAAAAATTAAAATCTGAGTATATACAAAAAAATGCTCAGCATAAAGATAGACTAAAATTTATATTTACTTTCCTGTCTTGTTGTGAAGCCAAAAAAAGATTTAGAAATGGAAAAAGAACTGAAAAATTAAAATTCGAAGACATAAGAAGTCCATCAATGCTTCTTTTATATTTCGCAATAGCACAAAAATAACTTTCTCCTCACGCGTTGATTTTGGAATTTTATGTCTACTGATATTTGTGATTTTTAAATTCTGTGTAAGTAACTAATAGTATAAATTTACCTTTAGTATAATTTTAAAAGTTCAAATAATTATCTGTGAAATTAAATGGCAGTAGCCACGAAAATTTTCAAAGACAAAAGAAGTCTGCCATTCGCATAGCAGAAACGCTAATGTGGTGTTTAAGGTAGAGTTAGAGAACTGCCATTTCAAAGTAATAAACCACGGTTTCTTTTTTTCTACGTTACGTTTTTTGTTGTAAGCACCACATTTATGACACAAGTTACAGCTTTGTACAAAACTTTTCAATTAAAACACAAAAAGTGAATAATATGATCGTAGCTCAAGATTTTTACCTAATAACATCTATCATGTTTAAACAAACTTATTGATTTATCGAGAAATGGACAGTGTACTCCAAGTTGTTCTCTTTGCTACCTACTTCATTATGTCGCTTTTTGGCTGTCGGTATGCCTGCGCACGGTAAAATTTTACTCGATATTTTTTTCCAAACGCGCCGAAAGAAGTATAACTTCAAAAAACATGTGTATGGACTTATATATGCGTAAGAAGTTATATATTTTGTGAGTAAAAAATAAAAAAAAAACTATAATATTACTAGTAGTGCGTAAGCCTACCACGATAACACCTTAAAATGATAATACTTTAACTTAATACTACAAAAGCATTATAATCCAGACTTCCTAAGACTGATTAAGAAATTCTAGTCACGAGCACATGGAATCTGTGGAATCATTACAGTAAATAAAGATTTTTGTTTATTAGATCTACTTTGATGTCTAATGAACTAAGTTTGCGAAAACGCTGATAAAGCTGTGGTAAGCTACGTGATGTATTAACGTTCGCTTGAAATAGAGCAAGTCTTCACGTAAGTTTGGGTTGTTGGTTTTGGAAGTTATTTCAATATTAACAAGTTATGAAATTGCTAATAAATCTTAGGATGAAATAGGATTACAATATAGGCAATAGGTTTTCATTTTAAGATACCAAGCGAATGGATGTTTCATCTGATCTTAAAAAAATCATCTCTATACATCTCCACTCCTGGAAAGATTGGACGCTGTATAGATTTACCAATTTAATTTTTCATTATGAATCACATAGCAATGAAGAAATGGATCCCTATTATTTATTTCATAGGATAATTTCATAACTGGAAAACGATATACACTTAACTAACAAGTAATTTTCGCTTTGTAAGTATAAAATTTATATTTGTCAAGTAGTCTCCTCAGAAGTCTTTAAAGTAGAGCCCAGCAAAAAATAATCCCATTTAAATGCTAATAATTATATTGCTAAGTATGACCGGTATTCCAGCACTGTTCTTGTTTTAATTGGTATTTACGTTTTAATGCCGTAGATTACAAGTAGCTTCATCGAGCACAGAGCTCATGGAAGGAAAGGTTTCCACGCTTTTGATAGACCCTACAAAAGCAAAGTGACGCTTGCATTAATTAAAGGTGTTATTATCGGTTACGGGCCATCGGAACCCCATATGCATCACATCGACGACCGTCGTCTGTGTTATCCGTTGATTGGAAGCGGTGAGAACCGCCTAGTTCGTGATGGGTTGGGTCCAGATTTCTCTTGACGTCTCAATTTGTTGGTAGTAGTTGCTTATTTATATTCGTGGGTGCAACGCCTACGAATAGGCGAGATGGGATTATGGGAGCAAGGACGGGTTATTTCGTTACCGTACCCACAAACACTCATGATATTCAACTTGGCCGCAAAACGACATCGGCTTTCTATTACAAAATTTTGAATGAATGAATGAATATTCTTTATTGCACACACCATGGTAAAAAAGAATACATTAAAAATAACAATTATGTAAGGGTTGTACAATGGGCGGCCTTATTACTTAAAGCAATTTCTTCCAGGCAACCTTTGGATGGACATAATATGAAGTCTTGAACGGTAGATGTGGCTAATGGGATCACTTTCAAACCAAAAAGACACTTTGGGACTGATAAGAAAACTATTTATTTCAACTTAAATATTTTGAACTTATTTTCCCCGAGACGACCCGAATGGCGTAGTGGGTAGTGTTCCTGCCTCAGTTATAACAAGAGTTATGTTAGATAGCTAGACATGTTACTTCTTTTAGCTAATTTTACGGAATCAATCAAATATAACATAATTCAGTCTGAAATAATGAAACTAACATTCCAAATTTAAAGTAATTCAAACATACATAAATCAAACATGTCAGAGTTGACATCAAAAGAGTATGTATAATCTGAAATTACCAATCAACAAAAAGAGTATTTTAGGGGTGTGGGTAAAATTCTACTAATAGTAAAATTCTACTAATAGTAAAATTCTACTAATAGTAAAATTTTTAATACCTACTTAAAAATTTCTAGTAGACGTCAAGAAATTATTACCAACAAATAATTTATTCTATTATAAAAATATCTGTAATTTAAAAATCATAAATTGTAATTGAAATTAAAACGAATCTGCAAACAAAAATATAAAATATTAATACTTATGAAATTTAAAACAATAACTGGAAAGAAGTGCTCATAAAAGGGATAAACAGGTCGCCTACAAAGTTTTATTGAAATGTAGGAATTTGACGTAGGAATGTAGGAATTTGACATAGCTTTTTAAAAAACAAACTTGACGTATCAGCAGTGACGTTCTGAATGAAAGCTACATAAAACGTAAAACAGTTTTGATATAATTCACATTAAAGGTCATTTTATTGAAATGATTATATCTCGGGGCATTGTAAATAAATTTAAACCTTATATGGACGTACTGTGTTATAGTTACCGCTATGCCCATAAAAAAGTCGAAATTAAAAAAGATGTTGACCCTCGAAGAGTGTTTAAGGTGTACCGATTTCCCGGGATTAGTGCCAACGAACAGCCTAAGGTACAGACCTTCGATGTGGACATCAGCAACTGTGGTAAAATGCTTCTGGATGCTATGATTAAGATAAAGGATATGGATCCTACTTTTTCATTTAGACGATCGTGCAGGGAAGGCATTTGCGGCTCTTGTGCTGTTAATTTGCAGGGTAGGAATTGCCTTGCCTGTATTACTCTGATACCACCAGTCAAGACCATAAACTTGTATCCAATACCACACATGTACGTTATGAGGGATTTGGTCGTGGACATGACGCACTTTTTCAAAGGATACAATAGCATTCGTCCATATCTTGTGCGGAAAAATCATGGGCCGATGGGCCAATATCAGCACGCGCAAAGCGTTAAGGACAGCCTGAAAATGGTCGGTTTGTACGAATGCGTTTTATGTTCATGCTGTGCGACAGCTTGCCCAAGCTATTGGTGGAACGGACGGCGATTTTTAGGGCCAGCCTCGTTGTTACACGCTTATCGTTGGGTCATCGACTCGAGGGACGACGACACGCAACGCAGGTTGGAAGAGTTGCGCGACGACTTCAAAGCGTTCCGATGTCACACGATAATGAACTGCTCTTTGGATTGCCCTAAAAACTTGCATCCAGCCGAGGCGATAGCGAAACTGAAGCTACTGATTTCTGGCATGGCCAAAAAACCAACTCCAGAATTGGACCCCATGAAGTTGGCATCTACGTCTGACTGGACTGCGAAATGTAAACCGAAATAGTAGTTATAATTTTTTAAATTTTTCGTTTACTAAATTAACACAAATTTATAAAAAGGAATTGAGATGATTTTATTTCGATTTTTATTTTATATTAAGGTAGACAACGCGCCAGTGATAAATTTTCACTACAATTAAAAACATATCAAGATTAAATAAAACGACATTAACTAAGCCATGGTAGCTCAGTGTCCGGGCGCTCGCCTTTAATTCTATATACTCGAGCAATTTGAGTTCGATCCCTAGTGCCGGCACCAAAGAAATTGTTAATTGGAAGGGAAACATCGTGAGGAAACCAGCATATTTTCGAAATAATAACAAAAATAAATATTTCGAAGATATGTGAAGTCCGCCAATCCGCAGTGGGGCCGCGTGGTGGACTATGCCCCGATACCCTCTGTACAGGGGAGGCCTTTCCTCAGCTGTGGGACATGTATAAGCTGATACATAAATTCGATTTTGAATAGAATTGATTGTAGTTAAAATTGAATTTTATATGCAAAAATTTTCGTTGCACTGATTGGGCATAGCAAGCGAAAATTTGTTTTCGAGTGTGTATATGTAACTATGATAGTATTGTGTCGATTTAAAAAAAATGAAAAAGGGCACAAGGGTTACGCACATCTATTTTGTATGATATTAGAAATATTGTTTAATACCAAGGTTTATTTATTTTGGGCTAATTAATTTCAATAGATTTAAAAATATATATATGTTTTTGCGATAAAAGACTCATAATTGGGGTCTCGGTGACTCACAAAAATGTTTAAAAATGTAATATTAAACCATAGTTACTTAGTAACATTACATAAAAACTACCAAAGGACGATTCTATGTAGTTTTTTTCATTTTTGAAATTTTAACGTTTAGTGAAATAACGTGGTTTCCTCGTTCTTGTGATAATTTTAGCTTATATGAAATTCCAACGCTGTCCAGTCTGAGTCTAAAAGCTGCAAGTGACCTACATATCAATTGGCGGATTGGTCCAGTCACGAGCGCTTTCACTACGAAAATATTTGCATATAGTTCTATTCAAACAGCGACAAATAAGATAGTATCCAAATTGAACTAGAATCTTGCTATGTATTTTAAGTTGGCATAATATTTGACACTTTGTGACGTTTATTTAAGTTTAAAATTTAATGTTCTTTATATTAATTTAGTCGGAAAAGGAGTCTGGGGCTAAAAGAATGAGTAAAGACAAAAACGAAGCATAAATTTATTTCATAAAGATTGGAATCGATACAAATTATAATGTAGTTTGTCTATTATTAGCAGATGACATCAAATTTTAGGATTAATATTTTTAGTGTTAACCCCTGCACTCAAGATGGATGTTTAAATTGTGATTTTTTTTTATATAAATGAACAATAGCTTTCGCGTCAAGACGCTTTACCAACTAAACTAAGCGGCCGATGACATCACGAAACGAAAATCTCGACAGTTATCTACGTTATTACTGTTTCTATTTAAGCGATGCTAAATTTAATTTAATTTTAAAATTGATGTTTGGAAGCTCCTGAGGGTGTGACCAATCAACACCAACTTACGTCATTTGATCTGGTAGCCGATTGACGATTGGAGATCTTTTCCGCCGAAAAACTCTAGGATCTGCCGTAAGCCTCGATATTTTATGAAGTCTTGGGGCCACTCAGTGATATATTTTGTCACTCTCCACCTTTTGCAGTCATATAGCAGGACGGTTTTTACGTTTCTTTTATATTACAGATTTGACGCATAAGAGAAAAGATTGAGTAAACAATATATTTAATAAATGATAATTATTAAAATTGTACTCTGATATTAAGATAAAATTTAGGAAAATTGTAGAAAAATCGTTAAATATTGCTTAACCATGTAATAAAAAAATCAAAGTAAATAAAATACATTGATTTAGTATTCGGAGTTTTATCTACATGCAAACAACATATATTACACACCTTACATTAATTAATATATCACCAATTATTATATTTAATGATACCTTACATAATTTAATATATCACCAATTATTACATTTAATGACTATCAAAGTTTGTCTCTATAGTGAAAAATATTGTAATGGACTTTTCGTTCTTATTTGTTTCATATCTTTCTGCATCTATATATTGTATCATATATTTACTTTATCATTTATATTTTAATCCCTTTTTTCTAGTGCTACCAATTGTTTCATTATTTAGTGGAATCTATTTTTGGCAGATGTAATAACGTATAGTGCATTTAACTTTGTTTGCTTGTTTGTTTCGTAATAAAAAAAATGCAAAACTTTCACTTTATATATATTAAATAAATATTATTCATTATCTAATAGTACTTGCTATTTTAATTTAATTTGTAAATCTCAGGTAGAAACAAAGAAACGTACACTTTTGCTTTGTTGTAAGCATTCTGCTTACGACGAAGACCATGCTGTAATTACGATCGTCATAAAAGACTCCGTAATAAAGTGAAGTGTTAATGAAAGTAGGGTAATTGACTCGCCCATTTTCTTTGGGCAATATTTTTGTAGACCCTATTCTAGAATTATTTTCCTACTGAAACTATGCATACTATATGAAACATCTGCATCATATAGTAATCTTAAAGGTAACATCATATTTTTATATTATATTATATTATATTATATTATATTATATTATGTATTATATATTTATTTATAGGATTTGTTGGAAATTAAATTTGGTGATAATTCACGATTTCCGTGGCTATGCTTACAAACATTTGTTCGAATAGTTTCAACAGATTTATGTACGAAATTTATTACGATAGCTACTTATCTTATCAGAGTCGTCTTTGCGCTTAAAAGGCTCGGCTTCCGTCTCTGGTAGTGACGTTGATTAATTGAAAATTTTCACAGACGTCTCGTAATGCTACGTTGTAAAACCTCGATGATTTAGGCGATTTACGTTGGATTGTGCAATTTACCGGAAATACGAAGAGAAGGAGCATTAACGTATTATTTTCATATTATTACTTTGGTTTTTATTTTACCAGCGGCTGGGAAAAAACTTAAAAAAGCAGCTCCTTAAGCAACTTAATTAAGATATCTATCACGCAACTTTGTCTGTCATATTCTTATTTATATATTGTCATAATATTAAAGGTCTATCTAGAATTTGTAGTGTAAACATGTTATAAACTATGTAATGTACACAATTACTTATTTGTTTTTCATAAATTTTTTGAAAATAATTGAATCCAGCGGTATTTCCAGGAATATAGAACTCCTTATATGCACATTTTTTTGGATGAATTTTCTTTTTTGAATTATTTTCAAAATAATTTTCTCTTGGTTTATTTAATATCTTATTCAAGCTCTTATTTTTTATTTTATTCAAAATATAATTCTTTAAATTTTACGATGTGCGCGCACACCGACACTGACATGTTGAAATTGGTTGCAAAATGACAAACTTCGTTACTACCCCATGGCAATACTGTGACATAACCAGTTACTATAACCTATGACAACTTTTTGCCATAGTTTTTACATTCGACATTTGACATGTTATATAGTTACACCTTTATCAATTTAATGTCTTTTTCACCAACTTCTTCTTTCTTAGTATCTAAAGTACGCGCATATTTTATCAATTATTTATGTAACTATTACTAAAAAGGCGGCTTTAATGTCTAAAGACATTCTCTAACAGTCAACCCAGGATGTTTTGAGAGCTTATGGCAGGTGCAGCAAGGGATGCAAAAGTTACAAAAACTTTCTATAGAAGGAAAATAAATATACGAAATATGTACCTATATACAAAAATAAGAAACAATATAAGAACATTAAAATATGTAGAAAAAGTGCGAAAAGATTGTCGCCGCTGTGGGAATCGAACCCACGTCTTCGGCATTCGCGGCCTGACGCTCTAGCCACTGAGCTAAACGGCTGATTACCACACCGACGAAAATCTTAACGCATTCTTCCACATTGTTTTCTTAGTATTTAAAGCAATGCTTGGCGCCATCTATTGTTATATCCTTTACAGCATACAAACAACTTCGAATATCGTTTTACAACGATAATTCGAACGAGAGATGTCGCCATTGCTTTTTTAGAAATTTAAATTGTTTATAGTGCTAATCTTTGCACTTAAGATTGAACATTAAAATATGTAGAAAAAGTGCGAAAAGATTGTCGCCGCTGTGGGAATCGAACCCACGTCTTCGGCATTCGCGGCCTGACGCTCTAGCCACTGAGCTAAACGGCTAATTACCACACCGACGAAAATCTTAACGCATTCTTCCACATTGTTTTCTTAACATTTGAAGCAATGCTTGGCGCCTTTCTTTCTACATATTTTAATGTTCAATCTTAAGTGCAAAGATTAGCACTATAAACAATTTAAATTTCTAAAAAAGCAATGGCGACATCTCTCGTTCGAATTATCGTTGTAAAACGATATTCGAAGTTGTTTGTATGCTGTAAAGGATATAACAATAGATGGCGCCAAGCATTGCTTCAAATGCTAAGAAAACAATGTGGAACAATGCGTTAAGATTTTCGTCGGTGTGGTAATCAGCCGTTTAGCTCAGTGGCTAGAGCGTCAGGCCGCGAATGCCGAAGACGTGGGTTCGATTCCCACAGCGGCTACAATCTTTTCGCACTTTTTCTACATATTTTAATGTTCAATCTTAAGTGCAAAGATTAGCACTATAAACAATTTAAATTTCTAACAATATAAGAAATCAATTAATTTATTACAATCGGGTCACTAAAGATAGAACTTGGAAGAACTTGATTCATTTATCAAACAGTGGAAAGCTTTTAGCTGTCTGAGGATTCGGTGTTACCTCTCGCCGATTTACCAATACTCGCCAGCTTGAAAATAGGGTTCAATTTGCTTCCAGTGTTTTAAAATTTGAAAGATATTGTTTCGCTTCTGTTGCTCTAGATTAAAGTCTTACTCATAATTACATTAGTTACATATCTGCTATTCCATGTTCTGTTTAAATTCGTTTCAAGTTTAAATATTAAGATTATTTTAATGTTCAA